TTTATCTTAATCTCAGAACGTTGCGATGGAATCTTCAACAGTTAAATGATTTGCTATTGTCTCCAGTGATATCTTCTCGATTCTCCTTAAAGATACAACGAGATTTATTCATTAGTAAATTCTTTGAAGCCCATCTTATTTTGCATCGTCCTTATTTTGTCTGTCTACCCCAATCGCATTCCGAGTATTTTTGCTTTATACCCTATTTTTGGTCTCATTTATTACTTATAAATTGTTTCCGCTTACTATTTAACTGAGAATCTTGAAGCCTACTTACCATGAATATTATATAACACGCCATATTTTGCCCAATTATACAATTCTCTACAGCCTTGCAAGCGCTAACTAAGGTTCTTGGTCTACTCCTTTCATTTTTTTCCTTAGCTTATTTACTGATACTGATACTTTTTCGACATTCAAGGCACCAATTAAGTCTATTAGGCACTCCATTGTGTCAGCATCTGATGTCAATTTGCTTCCATTTAGTTGGAGTTATTCATCTTTTGCCAATTACTTAAAAATTAACAGCCACAATGAAAATACGATCTTTCTCCGAATTTTTTTGAAGCCAATTTAAGACGACCTTCCATTCCTCTTTTTCGGCGTAATGAAAGATATGCCGACAACATAAATAAGCAAATATTTTGTTCGCGGTGCGTTTTGCTCCCCAGAGCCAGACAGGGTCCAAAATATGGTTGCATGTACGTGAGCGAATGTATGCGATCTGATGCAAAAGTATACCTTCATCTACTTACGCGGATCTGGTGGTCAGCGTCTGAAAATGCTTGCCGCGGAAGCCAGCCACCTGTTTCTCAAAGTCAAAAATTCTCGTACCCGAGAAGTAATGTTCCATATTCACATCAACCAGGCCCCTTGCATCCACCAAACTCTCCAACAGTCTCGTTTGTCCCGTTAAACTACTGTATTCAAAGCCTATGTCCTGGCCTTCTCGATCATTGAGATCAAAGTCAGGATCATCTTCGTCCAGCATATCGATCGCCTCCTCCGAAGTGGGCAGAAAGCCAGTCGAGGTGGCCA